TTTGCCTAGTTACTCCGTTAAGATCGATCTGACCATTGCGCAATGGAAAGATTTCTTTATCTTCTATTCCATTTTCGAAACGCATTCAGGAGCGGACTGAAAGTAGTCACGACTCACGGTTGAATTTCCCCGGGGTGCCAGCGTGTCTAAACTCGCAAGCAAATTGATCATTTGTCCAAAATGCATAGGGAAATAACAGCATGTCTTCTAAAAATCCTCTTCAACGTTTTCCATGAACAGCAAATTTGATTATTTTCAGAAAATACGCAGTCATTATCAGACGGATCAATAATTATATATATATATAAATGAATAGCATATTTGCGACCAAAACGCGTCCTTGCTACTTTGGTACGGTGGAATCGAACTGGCTACAAATAGATCGTCTATTTGCGACCGGGGCTATTTCGGTGCGTCGGCGGCGGACCTTGACATTGCGAGATGCGCGGGTTTGCGCGTCATTCTTCCCCTCTTCGTCTTTCGCTTCGATCGTTTTTACTCTGACATGGGATGGAAGAGTAACATGCAGAACCTAGTCCTGTGGGCTAGTTAGAAGGTATAGACGTACACTAATAAATTCTTGGAAGATAACCAAAGTTAACCTAATAAATCATGTTTCTATTTACCAATATAATATTCAGCCAATTTTATAGTATTTTTTAATGTGAGAAGGAGGCAAGCGATCTTACGATTCACCTGATGTTAAGTGATAACTGTCGCCCATGGACGCCGACATACAGACCCGTTATCACCTTTAACGGGCCTCCTGGGCTCCCTCATTAACAGAAGAAACGCAGAAGTATAACACTTCTGCGTTTCAAGCCATCTTCAATGAGGTAGTGGTGCTTTCCTGGACGGACCTGCCTATTCGTGCTGCAGCGCGCACCGTTGCGTGGCCCTACCACATGTTTGAAATGATAAAATTGCAACAAATCTAATATTGTATTATGTATAGAACTAGCAATCCGTCCCGGCTTTGCACGGGTGCAATGTATTATACATATAATAACCTTCCTCTTGAATCACTCTATCTAATTAAAAAACTGCATCAAGATCCGTTGCGTAGTTTTAAAGATCTAAGCATACGTAGGGACAGACAGACTGCGGGACGACTTCGTTTTATACTATGTAGTGATAATATAATAAGGTGAGTAAAAAAACTGCATAGGACATTATTTTTCATTTCCAACATTGACGAATTTGACACTCTTTATTTTATATTGGTCTGTTGCTTCCGTTTATTACGCATAAAATGGGGAAATCTTACGCGGGATAACGCTGTTTCCTCCAAAACGGTTTGTTGTAGGTTCGGGAGTTGAGTCGCGCCGCCATGCCTTTAGTATTAATCAAATTGTTATTACGTTAACGACCTACGAAACGACTGTTAGCGGCCGGGAGCGGGTTCGAGTTCGGAATAATGAAGGGACTAATTGATATTAAAATCCTATTAATGTTAACTACAGTCGGCAATCGCCGGCTTTATGGACGATTTTCCTTGCTTATAACAGCTACATTAAATTGTATTAATGTAGAAATACAAGTATTTCTTATTGCGAAGAACTAGGCATATAAGGCTCATTCGTTTTTATTGCGCATCTGTCGCTTTTATGTTCAGTTCAGAGAGCTATTATTATGTTTGCAAAATATTTTACCATTATCGCTTAATTTCATTCGTAATTATATTTGCCACTCTTCAATGGCATATCTTGTACATTGTACGTGTTTAGAAAGCATGTTCCTGTGTGTGTCTTAGCATAAGTGTGACATGACATTGAATACATATTTGAGTGGCGAACTGCAAGTTGAGCCAGGGCCGCCTATATCGGTACAATCGCCAACATTCCGTCCGCTCGTGAAACTTTAAAACTCTGGCGCAATTACGAATCCAGCGGGTTGTTTCGCCTTTAAAATCCGCAGAGCGTTTTCACTCCGGGTGTCCGCGGCTACACGCAGCCTGTGTTCAGGTAATTACGCGTCACGAGGGCCCTTCTACCCAGACTGGGGTGCGCTAAGCACCCTATAACTTCACGCCTGTTTTACCACAAAATATAACTTTCACCTAAAGTATAGTGAAATTAAAATTTTACCCACTCATTGGATAGAGAAGCATCCCGTGCCGTGTGCTTAATTTTTTGTAATTTTTTTTTTTCGTTTAACATTAACGAAATTAAATAAAACGGTAAATCTGTAGACAATTGAATACACGCATAGTACGCTCATCTTAGATTTCGTCGTGCTATTTTTCTGGCCATTGGTCCAACGGCACGACCTATTTATCTATACTCTGAATTCTTCTATTTTCATCAGAATAACCTTCTTAATGATCAGAATGATCAATTTGAAGAGTTTAACCATCACTTTGGGCTACAAAGGACATTTGAAAAACCATTTGACGGCTGATTAGTTAACTTCTACGATGATCAGTGTTTCAGAAACCGGGCGTTAACCTCATAATTTTTTCCAAAGAAAGTATAAGCCAAAAGAATTATAACTTCAAACTTAGTGTTACTACTTCAAAAGTTAAGCGTACGTTTGTAATTTCAAAGTAAATGTTTTAGGCGTAAAATTTTTACGATGCGCGCGCACACTGACGGCGATATGATCGACATTTTAATAAGCTGGCAAATAGACTTTGCTCAGCACTCTTCGCGGTTTTTTTTTGCAACATCGGTTGAGTCGCAATTGCGTTGCCGGTTGCGGTTTAAAAAAATGAGATAGCTGACTGATGTAGATACGGCTCGTTTAGTATATTTTAGTTATTTCTACAGTATAAATGTCTTATGGCATTCTACTTTGGGGATACGCCGCCGATATTAACACTATCTTTGTCCTCCAAAAGAGAGCTATTCGAGCGGTTTATAAAGTGGGCCCCAAAGACTCACTAAGATATTTGTTCAGAGATTAAATTATTGACTGTCGCTTCTCAGTACATACTTGAAAATGTTACGTATGTCCATAAAAAAAATGAATTTTCAAGACATGCGAATGTACATGATATAAATACTAGGAACAAACATATATTAATTCTACCCGCAACCAGACAGCGTAGAATAAGTAATTCTTTTATGGGACAATGGGAAAACGTTCGTAATGTATCAATTTCTAAATCCAAAAAAATTGTAAAGGAACGTTTGTGTGTTAAAGGCTATTATAATGTTAGTGATTATTTAAATGATGACACACCCCGGCAATTATATGATCGCTGCAGGCTCTTTCAAGTTGGCTTTAATACATTTGTAAAATGGCTTTATTGGATAAACAATGGTATAAAAAAAAAAGAAAGTCCCGCTGAGTTTCTTTCGCCGGTTCTTCTCAGGTTTTTCTTTAGGAACCGGCGCGGTGGTAGCGTTTTGACAATCAATAAGAATGTGTAATGCTTCTACAGCGTGTCATAACCATTGCGACAATAAATGAACACACGTCTAACGCTACTTGCCAATAACCATAAAAAATATTAACGTTAAACAAAATCCATAAATAAAAAAATATATTTTTCAAAGAAAGTAATTAAGTAAAAAAGAAACAAAATTTGTAACATCCTATACAACTCGCGTCACAGCGTCGTATTACAAGCCTCTCCTTCTAACAGTATGTTTTGTCTCTTTTAAATTCATTCAACCCATTCATATGCTTTGTGACCTTTACAAATGAACTTTACGTTACGCTTTTATAGGTAAGGGTGTTCTAAAATTCTTTGTTTTGGAAAATTTTATAACTCTGTAAATATTGATGTTTAAAGAATTTAAATGTTTAATAAAACTAAAAAGTTATCCTCTATATGTGTGTTCATTTATTGTCGCGATGGTAACGACACCCTGTATATTCGATTTGTTTGTTTTTTAAAAAACATTGCCCTTACTTTAGAATAACATTATCCTGTGCTGTAAGGACATTTCACAAACATAAATTTCACGCGGACAAACGGCCAGATGCGAAACAACTATCTGTGGGTCACGCAAATAGTCGTCACGTGTGGGGATCGAAACCACGACCCCCGACACCGAAGCCAATACCTTGGCAACTGCGCCACGGAGTCATCAAATATTGAATAAAGGTATTTGTTTTGATTTGATTTACTTGTAATTCCAAGTTATTTAATTTAACCGTAATCAATTTAATGTCTTTTTCACAAATGTAGAGTACTGGCACAAGTGATAAACATTTTTGGTTATTTTTCTTTTGTTATGTTGAAGAAGTATAACTTCTTACGTGCCTACATAAGTGCACACATATTTTTTTAAATGTATAGATTAGCAACGAGTTAAACTTATGATGTTATGATATTGCTCTCTAAAGTAATTATAAATATGAAAGTTATATTTGTTTCTATAAAATGATCAATAGTAACAAATTTAAATAGGAGATTGATTATGTATGAATGAATATTAATTTTGCTACTGAGACTGTTTGACCTTGGGGGGTTGATAAATCAAAATGTTAATTAACGGCTTGCGGTCAAGTTCGAGATAAAAGCCAATTTAAATAAGGGATTCTTCAATCTTTATGCAAAACAGTTAGGCGCTTAGAAAAATTTATTGCAATTTAAAAATGGATGGGGCATATTAAAAAAAAAACATTTTTAAATGCTTTTTCGCAAACAATTTCTGCATACACAGTGGTAGAGCCACGTATCTGCTGTTGTCAAAATTTGAAGAGTGGGACTTGTCCGAGGAGGTGTCCTGGCCTCACAGGAGACAAGCATGAGTGGAATTATATAATACTTTTGCGTTCCGTATGGTCTCCTGTGAGGTCCTATCCATTTATCCTTTAAAACCACTTGATGTGGTTTGATTGCTAGTTAGAGTGATTGAAGAGGAAGGTTTTTATGTATAATACATTGCACCCATTCGAAGCCGGTACGGGTCGCTACTATTCTAATAAATACAGATAAACCTCCCCGTAAAAATATGTTCAGACAACTCTTTAATTCTATTTTAGAGATGTCGTATTTAGGTATCTTAGTATACGCCAGAAGGCATTGCATCGGAAAAATATTTCTACGACTCCCAGTGGAAAGCATAACCCGAAGAGCGTTTAAAATAACGCGCTCCGTGGGCAAATCGCCTCGTGAACGTTGCATTGCTGCCTCGCTTCGGCCGTGAGGATTGAGCGCGCCTCGCAATTCGGTAATGGATTGTGTTCACTAGCCCCCTAGCTGGTGCCGCAGCGACGACGTCCGCGGCCGCTTGGTTTTTTTCGGGCGTGCACGCTGCAGACCGAAATGAGTATGCAAATGCGCTAACAGCGTATTGCATACATTTAATGCGAATGCATTCCGCTATTCCGTTCCGCTTTATTTAAATTGAAAAGCGCTCCGCTCGTTTAGCGCCATTTTCTGAAGCGCTCTGTGCAGCGGTCATTTGCTTTTTTGCGTTTGCCATTTCATAGTATATTTTATTTAGAACTAACTAACTAGATGTGGGGACACTATGTTTTTACTATCGCCTCAAAAGGTCAAATAGTCTATCTAGTTGTAAACATAAATGAATATTATTTATTATTAAGTAAATCACTCGCAGCCACAACAAAGTTTTGTGATATAACCAAGGTATTTCTTACTATTTGTAATAACACTTTGACTAACAATATTATGCGGGGGAATCACGTTGCGCGTGACACCCGGTTCATCTCTACCCTTCTGATGACCTACTAGGTAAGAGTATATGGACTAAAATGCATGGCAGCGCTCACTAGTTATTTTCCGCAAGCGACAACTTGTCACGTGAAAGAGAAAAACGGGTTACGGTTTCGCGTTAGGCTGGCCGCGCGTTGTGTCGCCACGAAAGCGCGGCCACCGGCTGGCCCGCCATTTAATTACGCACACAAAAGGTTAATTAGGAGCGAAAGCGTGTCACGGTTCGTTAACGCGCCGAGCGAATTGCGCGCACCGCTCGCGTCCAACGCGGGGCGCGCCGTGACGCATACGAACACGCACACACCTAAATTGTGTGTAGTGATCGTGCGTCTCAATCGATCTGATTACTTCGTTAAGATTTTTGGTGAGCCTATTAGTGGTTTGGGCGTTGGCTGTAATTTTTGACATCGCTGCATATCGTTGTTTGCCAAACAACATCCGATGTTTCGATATCGATACAGGCAGGAGGTGTCCAGCGTCAAGAGACGTCGAGATTTGAAAGAGTAATTAGTTACCTCTTACCTTTGGCGTTTGTATAGACAAACGTCCGTTGTTCCTAGATTACAAATCATGTTGATGATTAAATGTAATTAGACGTATGAAATTGTTATCGTTTCTTCGTATGTCAGAAGGGAATTTTTAAAATGAAAAATTGCGGTTCCTTTAAAAAATATTAAGCGACCAGTCATGCCTTGGTCGATGTCGGTGATCAGCGATCGGCAGTGCTCGGAAATGGTCGTTACCGATTCGGATGCCGGATGTATACGGTGCTAAGCATGTGGCCATGTGGTCGTTATTAGAAAAACGACCATCTCTAATTAGTACCGGGGCGTCCTTGAGGCCGATGAAGCACACGTGGTCCTCGAGACTGTAGACATCCGTTAACAGAGGTTACTAGCGTCACGAGTTACGGTAACTATCTAATTTACCAAACTTACCTTTTCTTTTAGCCCAAGGCTAAGTTGGACGTGTGGGTTTGAATTTGAGTGTTGTGCGCAACTTGTTTCGTTTAAGCAGCAAAGTGAAGGATCCTCAAAATATGCATATCCACTTCTGAGCAAAGTTTCCTTCGTAGAGAGCGTTATCCAGCAAGCTCATTTCGACGTGCCCGGACGATTTGAAGTGAGTATCTTCGCCAGAAACTGGTCAACTGCCAAACTGTACAGATAACGCGACGCAATAATTAACACAAACTATAAGGGGATGCTTTTTATTCGATTTTAAGCGGAAATTCGGGTATACTTCATAATATTTGTTGGTAGCGTATTGAATAAGTTGACACCCAATTAGATTTTTCATTAGGTTTTTCTTAATGTTTCCGATTCTAATGAATCAAGGCCAGAGAGTGTAGTAAATACGACGAGAAATTTGATAAAAGACACTTAACATTTTTAATTACAGTTAACAAAGTTATCTTTTGTATTTCGAAATGCACCGCCACAAAGTCCTTGCAAGTGATTAATTCATAGGCTAGAGTACCACCAATTACAGTGAGCATTTCCAAGCTCACCTATAGCTTAGCCGTTCCTTAACGAAAGCGGGATGCGTACTTCTGATGTTAATCCAAATTAAATTACTAATTAGAAACACTAATAAATGCGGAATAATGCATTCATCGAGGCCCCTCTAGCCCGTCGAACAGGCCGAGTGTCAGCCAGAATGCATTTGGGCGCACCGCCAGCACCTAACACTTGAGTCCTAACAAGTGACCGCCCCCTCATTGGCCCCTTGGCCCCTAGGTCTCCTTGCCCTGTGGCCCCCAACAAGGTACACATTCACCCGTCGGCGTGTAATTGAGGCGTATTCTAGTTCACGTGTCGGCTAAACAGTTCCGAGGCTTTGACGCGCTCGCATGATGAAACTCGGCCCTCGCCCCGCCCGGACGTCGCTTCGCCGAGTGCCCAAAATACTGCGATCCGCCAAAAACACTTGACTCTTACAAGTTGCATTGGTAAGAGTGCGAGATGATTTCGAAGTGCTTTGCGTTGTTCAGTTATTTGTTCGATAAAAATATTTTTTGTTGAAACTAAATCATTAAACAATATTTGTCACCTGTCAACCACATAGAGCTAAATTCATGTGAACTTATATACGCTTTAACATAATTGGAAGCGACGTTTTAGCTGTAGGTGGTTTGATTATTCAATAATTATAGTATATAGTAGTCCATTCGCGCCCTGAAAGCATATACACTGTACTTGCGTGGTGTAAATCTCTAATTCATAGACCCCTTATTTAGGTATTAAAATCTCTTTATGGATATAACTCATATCTTACGAAATACAAGGACTAAAACGTAATACTATTTATTTTGCGAAAGAGCTCCGCTTTGAGTTATTATGTAGATAGCCTTATGCTAGCGATGAAAGTCACCTTCGCAATGTAAGGAGCGGAAGGAATCGGGAGAATAAAGCGAATGTGGAGAACAAAGAAAGGTTCTACATGTCGGTGCTAACTTAAATATAGAATGGTTTAAGGCTTTTTCTTACAACTATTTTCTTTTATTCACTACCGAAACGGTAGAAATGCTAGATGTTTATGTATCTGTATTGTGACGAACCTCGTACTGAGGTGTTCATTTTGCAGCATAGTATTGAGTATTTTTATAGTGTAGTTGTAAAACTCATACACAAGTTGGCCAGTTTTTTTAATTTATTATGATACTACTATCAAATATTAACTAAATATTATTTAAATATGTAGTTACCTCTATAATATTATATAAATCTTTTACTAAGTGTTATATATCTATAATACAATAGCTCCAAACTTCAGAGAGACAGAAGAGCGCTGTACATATTAAAGAAAGTACCCGGAGGAGGTTTGTTTTTTTTTTTTTGGTAAATCTTGTATTTTGGAAATTACATTTAGATACAAAGTACTGAGTAATGAAATATGCATAATATTTTTTGATTTTACCGACGTTTATTACGTCGGTAAGATCGAAAAATAAGAAAATATGAACTGATGTTTTTCAAAAAAGAAAGAACTTTAAAAAAAAAAGGGAAAAAAATAACAAAATAACAAATCGACAAAAAATTAAAAATAAAGAAAGCAATGATCGGGAATCGAAAAAAAAGTAAAAAAATAAATGTGTAAATGATTGTGACGCGAACCACGGCCGTCTGTTTTGGGGCCGCTCGATTACCGACCGAGCTATTTTGACATTTTCTCTTGCAGCGAAATTTACCGTCATATTCAAATTATATTTTTCATTCCCTGAAAACAGGGATAAAAGGACATTTTCTAAAAATGAAACCTAGCTAGATCGATTTTTCGCCCCCGAATCTATGCACATACTAAATTTCATGAAAATCGCTGGAGCCGTTTCCGAGATTCCGATTATATATATATATATATATATATATATATATATATACAAGAATTGCTCGTTTAAAGGATAATATAAGATATAGTTTCTTTACATATCTATATGTTATATCTTTGCTATCTTCAGCAAAATTTTTGTTTAAATATGTCATTGCATATGATTTACTAAAAACCAGTTGGAAGTCCGTTTCCAACTGATATTCATGTCGCTTGGCAATACATTTTGCTGAGGGCATCAACCTTTTTTATCGAAACAAAGCAAACATCAATAGAAAATATTCCAAGAAGTAAATATAAGTAAATATTCCGTTTCTACTACTTCCAAAAGGTTACATTTATTTTTAAAAGGACAATATTTTTTTGTCCTAGTGAATTTGGTAAACGAGATAGCGATTCAGCCAACGACGGTGATGTTTAGGCGTTGGAGACGCGTTGCCTCTAAGGTTGAGAGTACTCGGTTAGGTTCCCCTTTTAGGGTTAGGGCTTTGTGTAGTTCTGATGTACGTGGTTTCAAATATTCAAATAGTACATTATTGTTTCTATTTAAAAAGCTGATTGCTCCTTTCCAGCAGTACACAATCACGCCGCACAATTACACTAATTATTTTGCTACAAAATTCACATTCAAATATCTTTATTCAATATAGTATTACACTTATTGATTGTCAAAAAACAAACACTACACACAATCGTTCGATTGAGTGAGGTGAATGGCTTAAGATAATGATTTATTAATTTACTTCATTGCTTTACAGTTTTAAATATTTGTCTGTGTGTTGGTCAAGCTTGGTGCCGTACTTGGCCAAAGCAAGTACGTGTTTTATAAGAGTGCTATTTTTTTTCTCCCCACTTTCGTCAACATGTCCGCTTCGTTGGAACAATGCGGGCACCAACTTTGTTTACAAGTCGAGCCCACTTCAGAGCAACGTTTCGGCACGATTAAGTGAACTTTAAATCTAAACTTGCTCCCTTCGCGGAGCCTGAAATTGACAGAGCTATTTTTGGTTTAAAGTTTTTATGAAGCGCGCTGTATAAGTTCCGTTTTAATCGGCTCTCCGGGATTCTCTTCCAAATTTCCGCTTCGTTGTTCTTTACCGAGGAAGAAAAACATTTTTATAACTGATACTTACTAAATGTTTTGGCACCAAGATGCCAGGAAAGAGTTTAAGTAAAGTGAAACTTAGATTTAACACTTTTCAAAGACTGGCTGTAGAACAGAACACCCATGCCCTGTTAGCATTCATCCGAAATTAAAAGGCGCCACGCTGTGGCCTTACTCCACAATAGCCGCCAATCTCTTAAGCTCCATATTCCACCAGATTTCTGGCTTGAATAAAAAGAAATTATGGGCGTTATTTCTCTCGGTTTTAATATTGTTCGGTTCGGTCAATTTGTCTAAATTTCGGCCCACCAAATAAGTATAAACGAGTGTTACTAAGCATTACTAATCCATAACTTTAATGAAATAGTGTGGTTGAAAGCCATGTTCGTATAAACATATAAAGCGATCAAACCGCCACCATTTGTATATCAGCAGAGCGGGGGAGCATCAATTCCGCTCAGTCGCTCACCGAGTGTTAATCGCGCAGAGTTGCGATCTTCCGTCGCTCGGCCGCTCGGCCGCTCGGCCGGCAACTGAGCGCTAAATTAAATCGAAAACTCAATATTTCACTCACGCAACCCTAAATCGTTCGACCATCGCCGACTCTACCAAATTGGATTAACTTTCCATTTCGAAACTCTTTGAAAATTTACCGAACGATTCACTAATCAGCGAACTGATCGAGTTCGGCCCATATTTGCATACTAAAAAGTACGTTGCACACCAGCCCAGACGAACGTTCCATATTGAGCTCTATTTATGGTGGGTCAAAGTTCAAATTTCGCCGAGCCGCGGCCGTCGTTACACTTGGTAGGATTTTCAAAACACCGATTCTTGTTCGTATACCGACACAGTTAGGGTTCAAGATGGCGAACGGAGAGTTGGCCAGACTGCGCGGCGTCGAATCCCTCCAGAGCCCAGCGAATGCTCGACTCTTTCCCACCGTGCCGTGGAGCGGGGACTCGATGAGTGGCAGGAAGTGAAAAATTGTCATTTAAATATAATTGCATGAGAATCGAATGCGTGCAAATGCACGCAGGGATTTGATGGCAAAAAGAGGGCCAGAGAAATAATAAATAAATAAAGAGATATTGTCTACTTTATAACACTATGTATGAGACTATGAGACACGTTGAAATAAAATGTGTATTGTACATCAAACTTAGTAGTTATTTCCATTGCACACGGCTACGTAATAAATATGTCAGTTTATGTTTTAGGGTGTTTTAACATCGTATAGAAATAAATTTGGAACACACTGTTCAAAAGAGTTGAAGGTCAAATTACCGCTTGGAATATTCATTGTTTAAATACTTACGATTTTCTTTTTCTTGTATTTAACTTTTTATTCTGCATTACCATCTCTAGTAAACTCGTACCGTAACACAATTTAAGTATGTAAGTCTAGGACGTAATATTGTCAACAATTTCATAGGGGGACCACATGGACCTAATGTTTCAACAGCAGATGACAAAAACACATAATCTGAACAAAGACACTCCTATTTGCGCCATTTACTTCAGTTGCCCCTGATGCCGCTCTAGCCCTGACCACAGTATCCATCAGATATTTAATTATAATAGTATATTGATACATAATATATTATTAATATATTAGTAACATTTATAAATTGATATCTGATAAAATCACATGCAATGCATTAAAAAAAAAAACCCTTTACCACGGCCCGGCAACGTGATTAGATTCGCAAAAATTATGAATACTTTATTGAGCCTACGGCTGAAGTTAAATTGCAAATGTTGCCCTGAACAGGTTTTAGCAACTGTTGACCGTCAAAGTTGTATTAGGTATACATACATAATTCGTAATGTTAAAAGCTCATTTTAATCACCGCAATCGATTAGTTTCCAGCAGTGTTCATTCGGTGAGCACAAGTATTCGCGAGTATACGAGTCGTTTGGTCGTTATGCTTATTAGGACGTTCAACTCCAGGTTGGACGATACCCTCTGAACTCTCGTGTTCAGCCGTTCAGGCGCGGTCTCGGAGTTTTTCTTATTCAAATGACGCTTGTCGCGTATTTCGGATGCTAGGGAATGGGACTAAACGAAAATAATGTCCCCCGGTTATGTTAAACTCTACGTTGTTATTATCGTTACTGTGAATCGACTGCGGTTGGCTGAGTTTAGAGTTAAGGGCGGAAATGTCGCGCATCTGAAAATGTGCACGAGTAGCCGTAGAGCACTCGGACGAACCAAACTACGATGATGCAATGGTCAAGGCTGTTGAATGAAGCGATGAAGCTAACTCCCAACTTCTTCTGTATTTGTGAGGTTTATTATCGCCAATTATTTAAACATATTATGGATTAAGTATACATTTTAACCGACTTCAAAAAAAGGAGGAGGTTTCTCAATTCGACCGTAAATACAATATTTTTTTCAATTTCTATTACATCTCAGTGGTAGGAGTCCTCAAGTGAAAAAAACGAAATCGCGTGTCGTTAATCGCGAAATGAATAGTTTGAATGTGGTAGGTGCAGATGTGGTCGTCCCGCCGGTAGGCCCGCCGGTCGGCCCGCTCTGCTTACACGCGCCGCGCGAAGTGAACGACACGCGAGGTCGCGCTTCGGCCACAAACAAGATAATCCCGACCTGCGATTAGATACCGGCGAAAGTTGGCGTGCAACTCGATTGCTATCGGCTGCCCGATAGCTGCGCCACAGCGGTGGTCGCCGATAAGGGCCGGCCGTATCGCGCTAAATTTCGCTGCACACGCGTTACGTAATAGTAGATGGAGACTAGACACAGATAGCGACGGTGGATCGCAAACCACTGGCTTCCCTTGAATCACCACAAAATCCCTATGTATTTTAATTATTAATTAAAATTTTGCGCTTAACCCTTGGAGCTATAAGTATGAACGGTCGGTTCTCTCGGCACAATTTAATTATGATCCAAGTGTCGCGATTAAAACCGGTGAATTAATGCCCTGTAATGTTGTTCCTTGGGGGGAAATTGTGGTGTTTTCGCGTGTTTTCGAGTTATCGCGCTCCTTACACTATTAAGCATTTCATAAATATTAATGAATTTTAAATGCAAAATGCCACAGCGTATTCGTGGTCTTATGACAATTACACGTTTGAGTTTATTTTTTTTTATTAAAAGGACACAATTTTGTGCTTGATTAATTCGTAGATGTTCTATGATAGTGCACAGTGGGTAGTGTGTGTTCGAGGTCTAAATGCTACCATGTAAGATAATCTTCAGCCTGACTAACCTTTCTTTATTATAGGACATCTTCTTGACATGTACGCGGTTTGAGTCCATGAATTAATATCAATACGTATAATCCCTCTGCCGCCTGTTCCTTCTATATCTGCGAAACATCTATTTTATGTTGTGGCAAGAACTAATGTGCAGTAAAAAGAACTAAACCATACGGTAGTGATTGTTTCACCTTAATCCACATTCGACTTACTTTTAGAGATACTTAAACGTATGACCAAATAAGCAAAAAGTTATTTATTTTTAATTCCAATCTGAGCGGCATTACATTCGATCTAGGGAGGGGCCGCGTGTGTCGATTGTGTAGGATTAGTGCTGTACCGCCCTCGTCTAGGAACCGACTATTTTCTTATCATTACAATCACGAATTTCGCGCCTGCAATAGAAAACTTCAACTGGCAACCGAGGCGACGCCAACAAAAAAACTCGGCCGAGGCAAGGTCGCGGTAACGTCACCGCCTTACACGCTCGCTCTTAATATGCTCCTTTTGTTATTGAATACCTCCATTGCGTCCGCCGCGCCGGTGGCTGATCAGATGACCAATAAACACATTCGTTTAGCGATTCTTGAACACCTAACAAAACTTTTTTTTATTTTGTATTAACCGATTATCGCTTTCAATCCCGAACTAACGCTCGAATCGAATTAAAGCTTCATCGAACGCAGAACCGGTGGGCTAGCAGATACAATCCACGGGTAATAAAACTGAGGATGTGTGTGCGCCAACCGCATTGCAAAGTGTATTAGTTTAATAGGTTTTTGTATTTAAAATTTTAGAAAAGCGAATGTCCATAGTTTAAATAGGTGTGACCTTATCGATTAGCTATGAAATTATAACGTTAATCACACCGATTCCATCCTATGGGTTTGGACTTTGAAATGCGTTTGGAATTTAAGGTTAAACGAGATAAAATTCAATGAATTGTTTCGCCTTTAACATTTCAATATACGTGGAAATATTTTCTGATTCGCACCTAAAATTACTATTTAATCTCGTCATTCTGGAATCAGTATTAAAATAAACTATGTGCCTTTTCATCTAATCTGCTGACTGTTTGTTGAGACTGAATTTTTTAGTTTCTATGTTTAGCATCAGCAACTGATAGGATCATAATTTTTGTAACAAATATTAAAGAAAGACATTCGTATTTAATCCATACATTAAACAATTTATTTAAGGAAAAAGCTAGATTAGAATGCAATGAAAATGCTTAATTCAAATCTGATGTAGATCTGATTCAGTTAAGTTCTGATTTAGCGGCAGTTAGTCACCAGGAAAGAGTCCGCAAGGTGCGGAGTATAAACAATAACATAGATACATATACCTGTTTACACACCGTTATCGCCGGTGCGAGATAAACCGCTATAAGTACTCGGTAAGGTGACCTTTGTTTTCGTTTCGGATATCTGCTGTTGCTGGTTACGCAACCGGAGTCATGCTTGCGTAATGGAAATCGCATGATTTTTATTATTCAATACCCAGCCCATGTGATATTACCACTGGATTCAGAGTTGAATGTTCTCAGGTGATTTATTCTATACTAAGACTAACACTGTAAACCATTAGCACAAAAATGAACAAATTTTCGTTACCGGCTTTTGTGCTTTTTTTTTGTTATATCAGAAATGCACATGCCAGCAGATCGTAGCCAAACAGAGACCAATACCACAAGTGGTTGAAGATGTCCATGGGTACGATCATTAAAGCATAACAATTAAGGTTATATTGGAGATGATTGAATCGGCCTTCATACATTATAGTAATTAAACTAATTACTTGTTCGTATTGCCGAGATGAGACCACCTGTTGTCGCGAACATGTTTTTTAAGTTTCACCCGCATAACGAAGCATTCTGTATATTATTTGCGTCCGCACAGATTGAGCGCGCGTTTCTATCGCTGTGTACGCAGCTGTTCGCACGCGAGTCACCCGCCGGCATTGACATTGAAATTGGGCGCGGTACGAGTAGGTACCATTGTCGCGATTCGAACCGAAATCGATCAACGTAATCTCGCAACACACCCACCGCGTGACCGACAAGGGCGAGTTACCGTCCGACCGGCCGACCGTGCGAAGGACGGGGCGGCGGTAATTATTTTGTAATCATTTGGCTCGTTTGGCGCCGATATCGACCGTGACGGACGTCTTTGTCGACGCCGGATTCGATTCCGTGGATCACTTTGTCGAACTATTTATTATACGGCGAGGTGCGTTGCCACATATTTATTTCATTGATCGACTCGATCTAAACTGGACGCCATTAATCTTTTAGTCCAGAGGTTCGGGCACGAAATTAATTGTACGGGCTTATCAATTTTTTTAAGTGAAATTATGATTCGAATTTTGTACATTGAGAAATGTCTGCTTTTCTTAATATTTACATCGATCGTATAAAGATTATTATACGATCGATGTAAATATTATATTACGATCTAACATGTTGTTCGATCGAGTAAAAACAAAGGTGATTTTACTATACTGGAAACATTTTTGTTATTGGCTAGAAAAAGAACTGACAAACGAAATTTATATATTTCAATATTATCGTGATGACTTTATATTTTTATTGTAATTAAAGTCCACACATTCGTCATAATCATAAGCCATAACTTAGTAAATATATGTTCTAAATAGTTAATTGATAACAATCATCACTGTTGGTCCGATTTAATAACAAACTTATTTTAATATTAAACATTTCTCATGTTGGTAATTATACCAAGATTACTGATATTAATGAGCACA